AGAATCTTCCCAGGTATTGAGGTCAGGCTGATAGGTCTGTAATTTCCTGGGTCCTTTTTTTCCCCTTTTTTGAAGATGGGAACTACATCAGCTCTTTTCCAGTCCTCTGGTAGTTCCCCAGTGCTCCTGGATCTCTGAAAAATATAGTTCAGTGGTTCTGAGATCACATCTGCCAGTTCCTTAAGAACCTTGGGGTGTAATCCATCTGGTCCTGGTGATTTGAACTCGTCTAGGCTGGACAGGTGTTCACTTACCGTTTTCTTGCCTATCTTAACTTGTATTTCTATTTTGTTTTTTATGGCACTATTTGTGTATTATACGGAGATAAGGTTCTTTGTTCATGATCCCCAACACCTTCTTAGTTGTGTAGGGTTACCAATTGTGGTTATTTCCAACCGAAGAACTCTTATCTGTGGGGGAAGCCAATTTAGTTACACGCATCCCATGCCTGAGCAGGGGGTTGGACTAGACCAGGGCTTTTCAACCAGTGGTATGGGTACCACCTGTGGTACATTGGCACCTGGCAGGTGGTACGCGACCATCCTAGAAAAGTGGTAGCGGGGGAGGAGAATGAACTGAACCGGTGGCAGCACCGCACAAGCCTGAGTGAGAGACGGCTGGAGCTGCAGGGCTGTCAGGGCTCAGCGGAAGCACCAGGATCAATGCCGCTTTCCAGCTGATTGGCACTTCTTCGGGGCTATCAGGGCTCAGTGGAAGCGCCAATTAGCTGGAATGTTGCAGCCTCTCCAGGGTCTTGTGATTTACATTCAGATGCTTGGCAACTGATTCATATTTATGACGGTCACAGTGTCCCAGGGTCATGTGAAGTGATCAAAACCTGCTGCAACCACCCAGCAGACCGGGGGGGGGGGGGAGAGAGGAAATAAAAACCACACACCACACACCACACACCCCCGCTGCCAATCCTCAACAGAAATGCTCACAACAATGGAAACCTCGGACAGGAGGAAGAGCGTCACCGGGTGGGCAGGCAGGTGTCTTGCTCAGCTGTGGCTTGGGGGGCACTTTTTTCAGTGCCATTGTAATTTCAAACAGTCACTAAGTGAATTGTTGTAAGTCGAGGACTACCTGTACTTTATCACTTTTTTCCTTTTTTTTTTTTTTTTTTGGTCATCATGTTTTTGACACCTTGCTAGGCGACCGGTGGTACTCGGATGTTGCCATATCCTAAAGGTGGTACAATGGGTGAAAAGGTTGAAAAGCCCTGGACTAGATGACCTCCAAGGTCCCTTCCAACTTTATTATTATTATTAATTCTCGGGAGAACTGGCTTTGCCAACTTTGGCAACCTTTCAGAATTCCCCAGCCAGTGCTGTCCAGCCAAAAAGCACGATTTCCTTATCATTTAAACCCGCTCTTTCTCGCTCTGTCTCCTGGAACAACTCTGAGCAGTTGTGTTGCAGCTTCTACGTTGGAGATATTTCGGATATTGGAAGACAGCTGTCACGTCTTGCATTCCCTTCAACTGTTGCTTTGTAAAGCCTTCCTTCCAGGTGCTTTATCATCCGGCTTTTCTTCCCTGGACGTTCTCCAGTTTGTCAATGTGTTTCTGAAAATGCGATGTGTCAACCAACGCTGCTAATGTTGGATGTTTTTGCATTGACAACAGATGGAAATGTAGTCCTTTTTTTACCTTTCTGTTTTAGGGTTAGATGATGCTGGGGAGGGGAGGATGTGAACGAGAGTCTAGCCAGACATAACAACACTGAGCTGAGCGGTGAGAATCAAGGTTATTGAAATAAGAGATGATAAGAACTGGCAGGTTGGCGAACTGGAGGGAAAGCCTGCATTTCAAGCTAATTGGAGAATGTGATTTATGACTGTCAATTGGATGAGGGAATTGTGCTTTGATACTATGTGTTCAGGGGAGGGGAATTCAGTTTTTGGCTTCGATTATGTAAGTGCCGATATTATGCTACTCGAATAAAAGGTTCTTTAAGATAAACAATGGCTCGAAGTTCTTTGAAGACTTTCATCTGTCGAAACCAGGACACTACTATTTTGACTTTCCTGGGTAAGGAACGATGATTCCTGCACATCAACCATGGCCTGCTCTCTCTTCTAATGACAGCTCCAATATCATTGCCAATCAGATGCAGTTACAGGATGTCTCACTTAATGACTGTACTGCTTAACAACAAATTTTCTGGTTCCAGTTGTGGTTGTAAGTTGACGACTACCTGTAAAGCAGTTTGATGTACTGCTTAAGGCACCAGGCTAGTAACAAGGAGCTGGTGAGTTCTAGTCCCGCCTTAGGCCTGAAAACTGGCTGTGTGACTTTGGACCGATCACCAGGAGATAGTGAGTTCTAGTCCCACCTTAAGCATGAAAGCCGGCTGGGTGACTTTGAGCCAATCACCAGGAGATTGGTGAGTTCTAGTCCCGCCTTAAGCATGAAAGCCAACTGGGTGATTTTGGGCCAATCACCAGGAGATTTATGAGTTCTAGTCCCACTTTAAGCATGAAAGCTGGCTGGGTGACTTTGAGCCAATCACCAGGAGACTGGTGAGTTCTAGTCCCGTCTTAAGCATGACATGATGCACGAAACGGGGCGCAACAGTCTAAGCATGCTTGGATCAAACTGCTACAGCAGGGGTCCCCAACCTTGGGCACTTTATAACTTGTGGACTTCAACTCCCAGAATGCCTCAGCCAGCCATGCTGAGTGCCTAAGGTTGGGGACCCCTGTGCTTCAGGGAGGAGTAATTTCTCTTGATTCTGACGTGAGATTTTTCTTGATGCAGCCTCTTAGGCTAAAAAGGCCGGCAGAGGTAGATACTTAAAGGATATGCAGCTGTGACATACAACCACACTGGAGCCCGCCCATCATGGCTGTTAAGTCACAAGAGTCGTAAATCAGGACACCCGTGTGAGCAACCTGATTTTATGAGGGTTTTTTTGCCCGGCGGTTGTTAAATGAATCCAGCAGTTATTAAGCAAATCAGTGATTTGCTATGGGGCCAGTGTTGCTAAAAAAACAGAAGTAAATGCTGGGTTTTGGCCAAACCGTCATGAATTGTGGACATTTGACCCTGGGATGCTGCCAATGGCAGTGAATGTGGGTCAATTGTTTAGCCCCTGACGTGCATTCATGAGACTGCCGTGAGTGCGTGTGTATAAATTCCAAATCTGGATTAAGCACCAGATTGGAAAGGACCTGTGATGACCCGGGGCACAGCACAGAGGCAATGCAATCAGCTGGCAATCCAAACCGCCCTTTAATTGCTCCAAATTTTCCCCAAATGCTCCCACGTTTTTGGCAAGCCTCCAAACAAAGGAAGAGACACACACCTTCAGCCGCCTCTGGCTGCAAGTAGTTTCACACACAGTCTGATTAGCAGAGGAATTTACTCGAGGCCACAGAGATAACAAGGAATGACACATACATCATAAACCTAATGAGTCTGTGTGAATCCACGCTGGCCTGAGCAGTTTCAAAAGGGAAGCCAAAATACAGTCCGAAATCTATAAACATCCAAGCAACATGTCAGCCAGTCTAATGGTCAGAGTTTCCGGGTTTCCAAGCAGAAGTCACAGAACAAGAGATCAGCAATAACACACACAAAACTCCAAGGAATCAGTGTTTGTTCCCGACAAATGCCCCTCCCCACAGCCTCTCCTTAAATCTCAGTCTCCAGGCGTGCCTTGTGGAGAGGGGTGGGACGCTCTCCTCCCGAGCAGTTGAGCCTGTCTGCGTTGTTCCCTCCTTCTCTCCACTGTCCGTGCTCTAGGATCAGGAGGGGGTGGCCCTTGCTCATCGCCTGAACTCTGCCTCTCCTTTTCTTCCTGACCCAATCCTAAAGGGCCCTGGCCTGCCTCGGCCTGCTCTTCCCCACCGTCCTCTGAAGCCACAGACCCCTCTCCCTTGACCTCCATAGGGTTCCGTTCCAGCTCATTTTCCTCCACAGATTCAGGCTTTGACGTAGGCATGACAGGACCGTCGGAACTTTGAACAGTTGCAAGCAACCGGTCGTCCTGTATCTTCCTAAAATTCCACAAGCCTTGCCAATTCATTCTAAAGCACAGGACAGCAGACCAAACATCTAGCCTTCCAGAAACACATATTAGAAAATAGACTACAGTTGGGGCGTGCAACCTTTTGAATTGAAGCTATCGCGAATTCCGCCTTGGGCAACTCAAAATGACTGAAACACAGGACCTTCTGCATTTGTTTCGGGACTCGAATATTTGAAGCTGGTTCAATTTTGAAACATTTTGCCTATTTGGAAATCGCAGCCGTGACTCAGCCAGTAGGCAGGGTGTAGCGTTTGGAGTGTTAATATAGAGGTGAGAAGCCTAAAATGCGAGTTTTCCCTCTCTCTTTTCTCTGAATTGCCTATTTCAAAGCGCTTGTGTGAAAGGGGGAGGGAGAAGAAAGACAGAAACCCGTGGATTATTTGATCTCCAGGCAATAAAGAAAAAAAAAACATTAATTAATATTATATAACAAGAGAAAGCGACTCGAGCTAACACCGGATCTATTTTGAGAATATCAAAGAGATACAACTTATTATTTCTCCACCTTCCTTTCATTAACAACAGGAGGAACGCTTTGTCGGGTTAACCTGTGGCACGGAAGGCAGGCCTGCTCAGTGAACACAATCCACACACCCAGCAGACAATTGTTTTGCCAGTTTGAAACCAGCCTTGGGGAAACACTTTCTCTCCTGTCAACTTGAACGTTTTCCTCTGGGATTCCCTGATTATCTCCTCCACAGCTAAGCGTGCTTTCCCAGCAGAAGCAGAATTGGGGAATTAGAATTTGCAGATGTGAAGAGAGAACTCTGATAAAATAAAGTTTGTTCCGTGGTGCTGATTCTCACACACACACAAAAAAAACCCAGCAAAGATCGGGCATATGCGCTCAGATCTGGTCCCAATTTGTAAGCCGTGGTTTGCAATACAGATTAAAAAAAAAAAATTTTTTTTTCTCTGCACAAGCCCTGAATACTATCGGCCCCCAAAGAGGCAGGAACTTACCTGGGTGGCCATCTTGCCGTAATCGATCCATCGCAGGGTGGCAAAATTGGTGGACTCGGCGCAGTTGAATCCATGATTGAAGCCCGCATGGTAGCCGTAAGGAAAAGTAATCATGAATTCTCCAGCTTCCTGGGTGATCTGAAAAGAGAGAAGGGAGAAATTTATGTTCCAAGTGGACAGGAAGCAACAAGAACAAGATTTAAGATAAACAAATTAAGTTTTCAGTGACCCAGTCCCTTTCCCCTCAGCATGGCTGGCTCAGTTGAACTCCAGGAGTCATCAAAGAGCCAAGGTTGCCAGGAATTCTGGGAGTTGAAGTCCACGAGTCATAAAAGAGCCAAGGTTGCCTATCCCTGACCTAGATGATGGATGGATGGATGGATGGATGGATGATAGATAGATAGATAGATAGATAGATAGATAGATAGATAGATACACTAGATCAGGGGTAGGCAACATTGGCTCTTTTATGACTCGTGGACTTCAACTCCCAGAATTCCTGAGCCAGCATGGCTCAGCTTGGAAACCTCTCCCTTCCGCCTCAACATGGCTGGCTCAGGAATTCTAGGAGTTGAAGTCCACGAGTCATAAAAGGGCCAAGTTTGAAGACCCCTGCCCTAAGGAAAGGTGTAGGGATGACAGCAAAGATTTTGGTTCTAAAATAGTTTTGCGGAGTTTTTATTTACCATAGCAAAACAAGCTGCCCTCTCCCGAGAGGCTAAGCTTCCACCCATCTCTGAAATGGCACAAAGAAGGAACTGCAAGTAGTCCTCAATTTACTGCAGTTCATTTAGTGACTGTTCGGCACTGAAAAAAAATGCGATTCTCACATTTATGACACGTTGCAGCATCCCCACGGTCATGCGATCAGAATTTGGACGCTTGGCAACTGACTCCTATTTATGGCGGTCTCAGGATCCCCTGAGGTCACGTGAGCCCCCTTTTTAAAATATGTTTTATTAAGTTTTTAATGTGATCATCTTAATATTCGGTAAACAGTGCGTTGTCTGGATTTACATTAAAAAAAACATTCACTAACAGTTAATTTCTATAATCTATAATCCGCATGATAACTTTACTTGATTTTCTCTTTTCCCCACAATGTTCTCTTTTACCAACCTTAAATTAGTAGAATTCTTGTTGCTTTAATGAACGATAATTGAATATAAAAGTTTTCTAATATTTCTACAAGTAATAATCAGATCAATATAATATTCCTTTTCAATCTAGTCATTCTGGGTTGTCTCACCATAGACCCTGTTGACAGGTCTTGTTTACGTTTGTAAAGTGCTGGGTTGGTTTGCATGAGGAAAAAAAAAAAACAGATTTAAATATTTAAATGGAATTAGCTTTGAGAAAATCTTAAACCGGTAAGAATGTTTAGAACATTGTGGGAAAAACATGATCCCCTTTTTGCGGTGATTCACCTCACAACTGTGGCGAGAAAGGTCGTAAGAGTGGGGCAAAACTCGCTTCATGGCTGTCCCGTTCAGCAACGGAAAGTTTGGGTTCAGTTGGGGTTCCACCTGTCCTCCCCACAACTTCACTGTTAATGACGCAAGCACATTTCAAACTGTTAGGAAGGAAGGCTGGGGATAGCTCAACCCGCCAAAGAGAAAAATTCACTTGCTGTGAGGTAATAATAATAATAATAGGAAGGAACCTTGGAGGTCATCTAGTCCAACCTCCTGCTCGGGAAGGAAACCCTATACCATTTCGGACAAATGGCTGTCCAGTGTCTTCTTAAAAACTTCCAGTGTTGGCGCCTTCACTGCTTCTGGAGGCAGGCAGTTCCACTGGTTAATTGTTCTCACTGTCAGGAAATTTCTCCTTAGTTCTAGGTTGCTTCTCTCCTTGGTCAGTTTCCATCCACTGCTTCTTGTCCTGCCTTCAGGTGCTTTGGAGAATAGCTTGACTCCCTCTTCTTTGAACACAGATATTTGAACACAGCTATCCTGTCCCCCCTCATCCTTCTCTTCATTAGACTAGACCAGCGGTTCTCAATCTGTGGGTCGGGACCCCATTTGGGGTCGAACGACCATTTCACGGGGGTCGCCAAACAATGCAGTCCGCCATTCCCCCCCCCCTTTTCCTTAGCTGTGCTACTCCCTTTTATTCTATTGGCTTTTGAAAGCCAATAGAATAGACTCTCTTGAATAGAGTCTAATTCTATTGGCTTTCAAAAGCCAATAGGAATTGTCCAGGCTGTCTCTGCCCTGCTGAGCCCGCCAAAAGTCCCATTCTGCAAACGGTGCTGCACCAGTTGAGTAGTCCTCGACTTACGACCGGTTGAGTAGTCCTCGACTTACGACCGGTTGGGGATCGCGGCATTAAAAAGGTTGAGAACCACTGGACTAAACATACCCAATTAATCCACCCAATGCCCCACATAAGCCTCGTTTGATTCACAGATACCATGAATCCAAGGATTGACTGAGGAATGCTAGGGGAGGGAAGCTAAGGGAGAGGACATTGTAGAGAAGAGAATGGGCAGGTGCCTTGGTGTTCAGGTTCCTTATCAAGGCTAGCCCAAAAGAGTGGATTTATCTCTGCCGCTAGTGCTTTTGAGTAAAATCCTCGGCAGGCACAGTCCAAATGCTGCTGACAAGCTCTACACAACGAACTGAGCGGCAGCAAATTCCAAAATCCAAATATGCCTCTGTGGAACAAGATGATCAAAAAGCACAGAAGCGTTAGGGCTTCTCACACACACACACCAAGTCCTTATCTCAGTACACCCCTCTTTTAGATTTGTTTATAAGTTCCTCTCTTTCTCCCAAACATTTCCCCTCTCTTCATTTAGATTTACACATGGTGTGTGTGTGTGTGTGCGTGTGTGTGTGCGTGCATGTGCCTAAATCCAAAATACCAAAGAGAAAATGCAAGATTGAGACAAATATCGCTAGAATGAGATGAGAGAAAGGATGTCAAGAACCCAGTCGCCATTTACGACGACACTAAATTCACAGGTCATTTGAGAGCTGAAAGGAGACTAGGCAAGTGAGGTGTAACGTGTTTAGCTTTGCAGACGTTTTAGAGAATAAACAAATTTCTCATTCAATTCTGCAGATTGAAGTGGAGGACATCCAAAGTTAACATAACATAGAAATGAATGAAAGAGAAGGAAGGAAGGAAGGAAGGAAGGAAGGAAGGAAGGAAGGAAGGAAGGAAGGAAGGAAGGAAGGAAGGAATTTCCTGACCGTGAGAACAATTGACCAGTGGAACAGCCTGCCACCAGAAGTTGTGGGTGCTCCATCACTGGAGGGTTTTAAGAAGAGACAGGACAGCCATTTGACTGAAATGGTAGAGTCTCCTGTTTGAGCAGGGGTTGGGCTACAAGGCCTCCAAGATCCCTTCCAACTCTTTTACCCAAGGGAGGGAGGGAGGGAGGGAGGGAGGGAGGGAGGAAGGAAGGAAGGAAGGAAGGAAGGAAGGAAGGAAGGAAGGAAGGAAGGAGGCTTTTAAAAATACCCTTGCTAAAGTGGAATAACTTTGAGCTAATGCGTGTTCAATTTATCCGCCTGCAGGTTTGTACAGACAGTCCTCAATTTACAGGCCCTGACCTCTGACTGTTTTTCCTACTTATGACCGCAGCAGCACCCCTACAGTCATGCGGTCAAAATTTGGACACTTGGCAACTGCCTCGTATTTATGACGGTTACAATGTCCCAGGATCATGTCATCTCCTTTAGCGACCGTCTGACAAGCAAGAGTGGCCAGATGATCACACCAAGGGTGATCTTCATTTCAAGCCCCAGAACGATCTGTTCTGAAGCCACTCCTGTCAACCACATCCCACCAATAAATAAATTAGAAAAAAATGTCCCGCCTGACGACGAGACCAGTCATGACTAAAGCCAACCTCCCGCTGCCCCTTGCAACTGAAAGGTCCCCAAATTTACTGACTTCTGCAAAGCTGTCGCAGACTAAATGGAGAAATCGATAGGCGATTACAGAAATACACGTTTTTAATTATTAAAAAGCTCGGCTATCGATCCGAGTCCTTTGGAGAAGTAAATACTTTTCAAAAGATTTATAAGTGCCCGGGTACTGGCCAGGAATTTCTACCAAGGGATTTTTCCAGGCGGCGTTTAGTGAGGAGAGGGAGGGAAAAAAAAAAAAAAAAAAAAAAGAGTGGGGCAAGCGTTCTGGATAACCCTTTTTTGATTGGAAGGTGACCTTAAAATTGGTTCCTGCTTCTATTTAACATCCTAAGTAAGGTCAAGGCTCCTGTTCATTTTTTTTTTATAAACTTACTCAAGACTCCACAAAGGGGGGGGGTCTTCATTTGGTGCAAAATCTGACAGCCTACATAGTTCTGTGCGAGTCTAGATTTGAACACAGGTCACATCTCTGGCGGGAGCTGCATTGGCTACCAATTTGCTCCCAGGTCTAGTTCAAGGGGCCGGTCGTTGCTGTTAAAAGCCCTACCTGGTCTGGGCACAGGTTATTTGAAGGACCATTTTTTTCACCGCTAGATCTCCCCAACCCACCAGAGTGGAGAGACAGGGGATGTTATGAGTCCCCTATCTTCAGAAGGTCCACCTTGTGGGACCGAGAAGAAGGGTCTGATGTGTTGGCCCCCCCCCTGTGGAACATCATCCCCGTGGAGGTAAGATTGTAAATAGGATGCTATGGGTCCCTTAAGAAGGTCCACCTTGTGGGACCGAGAAGAAGGGTCTGCTGTGTTGGCCCCCGCCCTGTGGAACATCATCCCCATGGAGGTAAGATTGTAAATAGGATGCTATGGGTCCCTTAAGAAGGTCCACCTTGTGGGACCGAGAAGAAGGGTCTGCTGTGTTGGCCCCCGCCCTGTGGAACATCATCCCTGTGGAGGTAAGATGGGAAATAAGATGCTATGGGTCTCTTGTCTTAAGGAGGTCCACCTGGCAGGACCAGGAAGAAGGGCCTCCACTGTGTTGACTCTCTCCCTCTCTGCAGGGAACATCAACCCTGCAGAGATAAGATTGGTCCCACCTTGATACTTGAAAGGCCCCGAAGACATGGTTTTTTGCCAGTGGGCCTGGAGTCCTTAGAGTGATACACAGCCCATCAAGTGGGTGGTTTGACTACAAATAGTCCTTGACTTACAACTGCTCATTCAGTGGCCATTTGAAGTTACAACGACACAGAAAAAA